TAGCAGTGTAGTAAAGTCCTAGTGTAATGAAATGTTGTAAGACACTAGCAGTGTCGTAAAGTCCTAGTTTAATGAAATGTTGTAAGACACTAGCAGTGTAGTATAGTCCTAGTGTAATGAAATGTTGTAAGACACTAGCAGTGTCGTAAAGTCCTAGTTTAATGAAATGTTGTAAGACACTAGCAGTGTAGTATAGTCCTAGTGTAATGAAATGTTGTAAGACACTAGCAGTGTAGTATAGTCCTTGTGTAATGAAATGTTGTAAGACACTAGCAGTGTAGTAAAGTCCTAGTTTAATGAAATGCAATCAAACTTACTTCTCAGAATCTAATAAAATCCAACAACAGTGTAGCAGCTCCTTTAATGATTATTGTTGGTAATTCCACAAGTATTACTCTGAAGCCCAGCAGTGTAAACTGAAATTATCTAAAGATCTATTAGCAGTAAAGTGAAATTTCATTAAAAGTTATCACCAGTAAACTAATAATCTCAAAATCTGTATAAGCATAAAAAGCATTAAAGGATATTTTCAGTGCTGTGGTTATATTTTTAGTATAAAACATCAAGCAAGGGAACTAAGTTACTCTCCTCTTGGTTATTGATGGGGTTGCCTATGTTTTTCCTTTGGGAAAAATCACTGTATTACAAACTATGCTATTAATAGAAGTACAGAGATGAAAGTGTCCCTTTCCAAAAAATCCTGAAAATAATCGAAGCCAAGTAAGGGGGGTCCGGCACCCAAAATCCTGCATTTTGATGCATTTTAGTACTTAAAATTCACTTAAACAAGTTACCCCATTTTTCTTACATCAATGATTATCAAATACATGTAAGAAATACCAAATCTGATTCCCCTAGTTAACGAATAATTTTCAAGAATGCATTCTTTGGAATTCATAATTTTCACTATTGGTTGTCAAAACTTATACAAAGTAATGCTTTTATAACTTACACTCAGATTGCATAAACGCTTATCTATGTCATGGAACACCAAAATCTGATAAATAATTTTAAAAAATGTTTCTCCGCAAGAAAACTGGAGGTTTTCAGGATTTTTTAGAAATATCCGGATTTCCAGAAGACTTTCATTATTAGAAGTAGTGGTCTGTTCTAGTGTGTTTGCTAATACTCATTGACATAAGAGTGGCCTTCAATCACGTAGATAATGTGCACACCTTAAGAGATAGAACTATGGATGGAATGCAATGTTTTCCTTTAATTAAATATTAAAAAGAATTATGTTTTTAAAATTCACACAAGTATTGATCAGTTGTATATAGTAAAACTTTTATTCACCCTATTCACAAAATTTCACCAGGTTTACTTGACATAATCAAATGAGATCTCACATAATGTGAATGTTTTCCTTTGTTTGCCATATTTTTACCAACATTTTAGAGTTTAAGATGTCTTCGAGATTTATCAAGAATAAAGATTTTTCAAATATTTTAAAGTATTCCAAGATGGCATTCTTAAAGATTCTTTGACTACCATTTTGTCTTCAAACACATAAATTGTGTTACCACAGTCTTTAAACTCTAGATGTAAAGGGCTAGAGGTACACTAATGAGGGACTATAAATAAATGTGTCTCTTTTTTAGTTGGCACAAACACTTGTTCAGGTGTTTAAATGCAACATTGTTTTGTAGAGAAAAAAAAGAATGATTATTTACAATCTGTATGTAGTTTCTTTCTTTTGATTAAGACTCAGTTATGGACAGAGATAATATACTACTATGTAAGATGGTATCTGTTGAATCCCCTGTTTTTGTGATTCCTGTAGGCTACTCTGAGCAAAATCAGGGTAATCTAAGAATTCCACAGAGTATGTTAAATAAAGGTGTCCCTTTGAGAGTTTGGGTGCCTATGTTGATGATCGGCACTGGCTGCATAGGAAAGTCTACCCATAAACGATCTTCACACACCCTTTTTGTGACACTACTTGGGAGTGAGAGATATTCTCAACCTCTTTGGGGCAATGTCTACCGAGATGATGTTTCAAGTGGTAACTTTGAACAAGTTACAAAAAGGGTGAAAAGCCTGCAGTAACTACAATTGGACCTACAATGTCAAGCTCAGGTTTCATCAAAGACAATCTGGCCACCAACCACATTTTACCGTTGCAGCACAGAAACAATGGTACCCAGTGGATGGACAGGGCTATCAACATCCTCCTATGATGTTCGTGTCACAACCAGTGTTGATAATTCCCCTGACTGGACATTGCTTTGGAAGCAAGGAATGAAGCACATACTTTGGTATGATATAAAGGAATAATGTGTTTTCTACATTCTTGTTTTAATGGATTTATTTTCAGAAATTTTCATTTATTCTGGATATAATGACATTAACTATTAGGTAAGGAATGTTAGGTTCAAACTGTGGTAGACTGCTACAGTTTGGGGAGAAAACAGTTTACTATCCAGTAAAAGCAACTATCCTTGGTCAACCAAGCAAGTACATGCACTGTGTTTATGTCTTTGATATAATAAAGTGTGTTCAAAGAGTCTAGTCTCTTTAGTTCATTCTCACAAACTCAGTTTTTCATGGTTGATTTTAACTAAAATTATTTAAAATATTAATTTCATTCTGTTAGTTCAATTTGGATTAAAAGACAGTCAAAATTATAAACTGAATCCTTTAATTCTTGTCATGGTTTTTATTTCAACACATCATTGAACTTATCTTTGACCAGAACTATAACAAAATATGATGCAATGACTTTTATAAAAGATTTTATTACATTATTATTATATTTTGATTCTCACCAGCAATTGATCTACTTGTTTTCTGTTAATTCAAGAAATATAATTAGAAATGCTCTTGCTTATAAACAATGGAATTTGATGTATAATATTAAGAAAAAAATGTCCCTCTAACAGTGCTTAAAGTACTTCATATTACTGTAAACAAGCTTTAGTTAACTGTTACTACAAATGTTTATTTTGGACCATGTATGGTACTTTGAATTCTTGTTAGACTTACTGACATCACTTATTATTGTGATGATGACTGTCTTAAAGCTGCTGTTAGTGTTCTTGTACCATATCCTCAGTTTTAATGTAGTGTTTTCTGGGTGAGAATTGCGATTAAAATGGCAAATTCCTGAAAAATTATCAGAAAACAACAGGTAATTTTATAGATCAAAACCTCGTTTCAAAGTTTCTGAATATTCTAATTTCATACAAGACCAGATTTTGTGCAATCTATAACTGTACCAGATTATTAAGTATGATGCATTGAAGGTCTAAGTTTATAAGAAATTACTGAAGCTATTTTGTGTAGTGATAATAATATATGATGAATCAGATTACAGATTTTCAAATGAAAATAAGTCATCCCAATGCAGGATCATTACATCAAAATCCAGCATATAAGTCAAAGCAGTGTTGAGTTTTTAATGGAAACAAAATAGATAGTATGAGTAACCATAATGCCTAGTTATGAATCATCTAGTAACAAAGATGAGATACCCAGAAAATCCTATTGAAACATAATGGACCAAGAAATGTGTGTGAGAATTTATATACTGGAGTAATCTCATGCATATCCTAATATGCCAATCACAAAAAGGCAGAAGAACGTAGTGCACTGTCTTTTATTAAGAAAGGAAAGGCTTTACAGCAAATATCTTGAGATAAAGATTCTGTTTCAAGAGATAAGTATATGAATACTAAAGGAAATTCCCCTGAAAAAATTTATTGTTATTGAGACAAATTGAAAAGCCAAAGAAGATAAGTTAAACAGAAAATAAAAAATCTAAACAAACTACATGAAATTGTGAATAATTTGAAAAACCATATAGCAATCATATCTTAAATCCCTTGACAATTGTGATTAAAAAAATAGTAGCCAATCCATCTTCTGGTTATAATGAAAATCAAAAGAATCAAAGGCATACTGTGGTAAAACAATTTCAAATGAAATAAAATGTGCCTGACTTAATCCCACATTGGTAATAAAGGTAATCAAGAAAAGATTTTCTACATCACAAAAATTACAGTGTGTCATGATGAACTACCTAGCATTATACAGTATAATATAGTTGCCAGTGTAAAATCTTGGGTCTAAATGGATCCCTAGAATGCTGCTGAAGGATAATGGCTTTTCCATTTATAAAGAAATTTGCTACACTTAGACATTTCAAATTATTAATATTATAACAATGTTTCTCAGGACATCAAATTAATTACTGGTCAAACTTTATTAATATAAATTACAAGCAATCAATAAAAATATTACACATTTAGAAAAATCAAAAGGTAATGCCTTGTACATAAAGTAATTAGAATCATGGCATCATCAAATATGCTTAAAAGATATAAAAAAAACAAAAACTCATGTTTGTAAGAAAAAAGAAAAGATAAAAACAGCACATAAATCACTTTTACTTAGTTATAATACTGAGCTTTCTTTAGTTTGCTTATTTAAACACATAATCCTTCAACTTCTTTCTTCATACTCTACTGATGAATATATATATATATACCTCTTTTATGTGACAACTTTAGTTGAATTGACCTTCTTAACTTGGTGGGAGTAGAAGTAATATTTTGAAATATTCACGGTTGCAAACGAAACATTCTAATGATGGATAGAAACTAATCATATAATAAGTACAAATATCTAAGATCATCATAATAAACTGAATATGTTCTAGGAATGATTTGAAATTACTGATACAAATGAAACGTTTTGCAATACATGCTAATACAAAATATAATACAGAATAATTAACTTCATAATAATGAGGAAATGTTACTATCTTTAAAAATTGTAAAAATCTGAAAAAGATTATCTAATTTAAGCACCTATTTATATGGCATTTCTTTATGTTTACCATTTTTATATCCTCAATATCAAAGGAAGTTTAGAACAACTACTGACTTATATAAAAATATATCAAGTTTTATTGTTTTCAATCTCCAACTGATTTGGAATGGTTGTTGTTAAGCACAAAAACTATACAATGATTTATCTGTTCTATGGATATCAAAACCCAGATTTTAGTGTCATGTGTCTGCACTTACTGCCGAGCCATTGGAAGGCAATAATCTGCAATTACATACTACATTCATTAACTGGTAATGTTAAACTTTCGATGAAATCAAACAAATCAGGATAGAACTTCCCAACAAAATTTCACAAATCTGCCTCTAATACTTGAAAGATATAAAAAATATACTCAAAGTATCAACAGTCAAATGTGATTTTTTTTATCAGGAATATCATACTTAAAGAACAGTAAAAATGGTCAAAAATTTGCTTATGCATCAAATTTACTGCATATAAATAACAACTAATTATCAGCAATCTATGTTTAAGGCAAGCACAATTTTAATAAAAAATTGCACATCCCTTCCTTCTTCAATTGTAAAGTAAAAAAATATCAAATAAAGATTTTTTAATACCACATAAAGAATGAATTAAATACATAAGTACTAATATTTAATATACATATGTTTAAAATCAATATAATTCTGTAATGTTTTCATTCTTAAAATTTTATTTTAAATTACAAACTTACTAATCAACGAGTATCAAAATTTCCAACATTCATCTACATTATTTAGAAAGAAAAAAATTATATTCTCTCAAAACAAAATCACAAACCTCAAGATTGCAGAATTAGGAATGCTACTGTAAAAATATCTCCTGCTTAATTAAGAATGCCTAACAGAAGAATGCTTGTTATTTTTTTATAATGATTCTAGAATATTAAAATGAAGTATGAGTATAAGCTACTTATTAGATTAAGAGACAAAATGAAATAAATTATATTGTAGATTTATAAAAAAATAAAGCATGTATTGGTTATAACCATTTCCTCTTCAAACACTACTTAATGTTTACTTAATCAGTTTAGCTACATACAAAAAACAATGTGATAGAACTGTACAAAAAAATGTATTACAATAGTAATGCTAGAAAAAAATATTCTATCCCAAATGAGCCTCATAACAGTAAACACAAATGAATTTGAAAAATTTTGTCAATAAGTTTAATGTTTTTCATAAAAAGAAACATTAATGTTCATATAAAATACTTAATAACAAAAATAAGCATCACAATGTTTTACAGTACTTTCTGATAAAAAAATCCAAAATATAACTTAAATTTTGTATGGATTTCTAGCATTTTGCTTTCAGTAAACTTATTACATAATTTAATTCAGCCAATCACAACTCCCACAACTCATTTTTAGTTTACTGATTATAAATTCTAGAAGTTTAACATCTAAATTAGCATAATAAGGAACCCTGTTCTAATGTTCAAATGTTATAAGACTGATTTTGATGCTGTTTTATCTTAAATTGCAAATTCAAGTTAAAGAATAGTTTAAATATAAAATGTTTACTACCCTAATCAAACCTTTTGTATCATACAATTTCAATGTTATTTTTAACAAAAAATTATTCAAAACCTTTACTTCAAAGTAACTAACATTAAATTGAAAATAACTGTTCCAGCAAGACCATATATTGCAGTTAATGAAAATTATAAAAATGTTAAAGGACATAGATATTACTATTGTATGAAAATTCATGACAAATATTTGTAGCTCTCTAAAGTAATTTTAAAATGAAATATATTATTTTCAAACTCTTACTTCAGCATCAGTGTGACTGTATAGGGGTTTTATTAATATTTCTACTGTACTTACTGACATTAAGTTCTGTTTACTATATATATTATATTTTAAGTTATCATTTTAATTTTTTTTAAAGAAGGCCTCGTGTAAAAAATACTATTGACTAAAAATTACTTACTTTTGCCAATAACCCGTGAAACCTCATATTCAAAAACAATGTTAATGAAATACTGCAAATCAGTATTTTGAATTTTTTGTCATCATCAATAAAAAAATAATTAATTTACACACATACTAGTTTAATACTATACAATATACTTTTTTCATATATAATGACACTAAAATCATAGAACAAACTGGAGTTAAACACAATCCTTGTACAGCAAGTACTTTTTCAATGTTACACATCTATCCATGTCTCATGCATGAAGTTTAGATTGTCTTAAAAGTAAAAAACAAATCCTTAATGAAAATTAAAACTCAAGTAGTGAAAAAAAATACTACATCATTAATAACTAGCATATATTCTAATTGCATTTCCATGTTATATCCTAGATAAAACTTTGTGCTTATTGAATACTCTAATCATGAAACAGCAACTTTTAATCAATTATAAAATTCTTTAAATATACGATTACTTTCACTTAATATGATGCATCTCTTAAAAAATAAACTGAATTAATAAAAAGTGATTAAAACTAGCTACTTCTTCAAAACTATATATTTTGCTGAGGAAATTTAGAGGACGTGTTTGCTAACCTTCCACTTTAGTGACCACCAATGTTAGCATTGGAAGGCATAGAAGTAGTGTAAGTGGGTGTCTCCAACTCTTCACGTTTCTTAGACCTGTGTCCTGGTTGTTGAAGTTGAAGTTTGTAGTGGTTGATAATGTCCTGGTCTGC